TAGCGCTTAAAATACGCGTAGTGATGAAACCCCTGTCCATCTGGCTCGTGTCGAAACTCTGAGAGTTTGAAAATAAATCTTTAAAATTTGAGGTTCTTTACATGAAGCTCCCCGGACATTTTCAAAATTTGCCCAAAAACGACTTATGAAGGTGGCATAGGTCAGATGTTTAGGTTTAACACTGGATTTTGGAAAATTTCAAAATTTTTTGGCGTTTTCTTGCAACTACAAAATTGAAAATAAAGCTTTTTTCTTCAAATGAAATTTGTTATCCTCAGTGAGTTCTTTAATTTAGTTTGGGTACATTTTTTTTGAAAATTTTAGAACTTTTCGCGCAATATTGCGTGCAATATGAGTAATATTAAAAAATTACAAAAAAAGAAACAAAACATTTTATCAAAAATGGCTCAAAATCTGTTCTTGAAACTTTTGGTAGGGATAGTGTTAAATGCACTCTACAAAATGACATAAACACCGTAATGCTCAATTATTTTCTTTTTTCAAAAATTACAAAAATGTATTTTTTTACTTGACTCTCATGTTAATATTTATATTAGCGGCGATTTGTTAACATTATTGTATTTATGAGTACATGTGTTTTAAATAATTTCGTATATAGTTTTCAAAAACTATCGTTTTCTGTAAAAACTCGCTCAAAATTCCGCATTTTCAGAAACGCTCAAACGCAATTTTCTCAAAACCGGCTCCAATTTTTTCTTCAAACATTTCGAAAGGATAATTGGCAATGGCACTGTTTTTTCAAAAATTACACAAATATAATTTTTTTGAAAGATCTCTCACGCCGTTGATATGCACATATACAACAATTTGTAAACACTATTGTATTTGGGAGTTAATGTACATAAATTACTTCAAATTTCGTATTTCGAAAACTGGCAAATTTTTTTGAAAAGCGCTTCAAGTATCGAATTTACAGTAGCGCTTAAACACCAGTTTTTTAAAAAAACGGCTCACATTTTTCAAAAAAAATTATCGTTTAGGACTGTTCTTTAATAATCTTGAAATAATATGTCCGCTCTACAATTAGGAAAACGAAAAATTAAAAAAATGTCAAAAAATGTATTTTGGACGTCGATAGATGGTAGCATGAAAGAACATGTGGCAAGTTCGAATAGCTAATCGAGACCAAAGGAAATAGAAAACTAATACGGGAAAGTCTGTACCATTATACAGAAGCACTAGTTATTTTTGTAACCTGCGTTTTCTTAAAAAAGGCGCCACATTTTTTCCATTAAATTTTGTACCTCGGAAAACGTAAAGAATACTTTAAAGAATGGTTCAGCTAGCATCTTCGTTGAAACGCCTGATTACTCGAAAAAAAAAAAAGTTTAAATTGTTTCGACGTCTTCCTACTACAATTTTTTAGATTAAGATAATTTTTTTTTCTTAATGAAATGTGTTCATCAGAAACAGTTTCAAATAAAGTCATATTCAATTTTTCGAAAATGAGTATTCTTTGTGTAATTTGGCGTCAAACATAGCCCGCGCTTCGTGAACGTAATTTGAGAAGTGTTTGGGAGGCAGTTGGGTGCTACGTACGAGAGAATTTGTTTATAATTTCATATTGCTTTGTTCGTTTCTTACATTCGAGTTTTGGTTATATGTTTACAAACTAACCTTTTAAAAAGGATTTAAAATGTATTTGGTAATCCGTATTTTTCCCGTGTTGTACTTTTATTTTCAATGTTTTGATATTGATTGATGATGAATTGGTTTTCATTTAAAAATGCGATTTAAATGTAACAGAAGAAATATTGAAAACATTGAGTGCCATAAATGTGTACGAATTTTCATTTATTTAACTTTAATTTTATATTACCACCGAACGCTTCCTTCGATAACGGTGCAGCGATGAATATTTGGGAAGTTGATTGTTGAACCGCGACAAGGTAAGATAAATGGGCTTTACTTATTTCTATGAATTCCGTCTCATTGTTGGGACATGATTTAGCTGTATGAAACGCAGTTTTAATTGCATTTATGCTGATATTTTCTTGAGAATATTTACTTTTCGCACGAAATGTTATGATTGTGATTTCAGACAGAAATTGCGGTCAAAATAGAATTACGTAACCGTTACTAATGGCGAGAAAGTATGTGCTGTTTTAGTACCACTAGTTTTTCAAGTTGCTGCTTCTTCTCGCTCACATGCACTTTTGTTTGTTAAAATAATTGTTTATAAAGCTTGCAAAACATCGGCATATCTGATCCGAATAGTCAAATGTGAATCACTTCTGGTGGACCTCCTAGTAGGATACACACGCTTCACTTGTGGGTCTGTCCAACTTTCAATGAAGCAACAAATGAAAAGAGCCAGGGGATTTTCAAATTACAAATTAGGAAAATATCTTCGCGTCCTTGTAATAAAATACGTAACTAGTCAATTTATAGTGAACAAATCGCTTGCAAAAGGGAGCTTTAAAGTTTAAATGAATTCATGAATCCGGTTCATTCAATTTTAATTAAATTTCAAACATTTGTCATTTCAGTACACTGAATATTTTCATTCCTTAGATATGTTCTGATCACAGTCATGAGTTGATGTTAAATATGTAAAATCATTATTATACAGATATTTCTAGTTCAGTGAAGTATAATTTTATTTCATTACACTATGTATAGCTTGAAAATATTTTTTTAAACCTTGAATTTAATTTTATCTTTATTCCACAAACCATTTAAGTTTGGCACTATATTAGTTTTAGCATAAAATAAGATTATACTCTCTTATTTATTCTTCAATTCAATAAGATCATGACATTTGTGAAACGTGTATTTTCATATTTAAATTATAAATTAAATTATGTTACTGTATGCCCGTTGTCATTTATAAGTCATAAAACAACATAAATAAAATGATTTCAGCAAATCTGCATTTGTGAAGGACACTGCGTGCATTTAAACACGCCGCGTCGGTGTCGAATGCACTTTTGCGTTTCATGTCGATGAGGTTGGCAGCCCCGAAACTCCGCCGCGTGAAAACACTTGCACAACGACGAGCGCGTGAGATTCTCGCGGCGCAGTGAACGAGGGAAAATTGAAAAAGTTCTCAAAAGGTATTTTAACAGATGTCATTTTGAAACTTTGCAGTGCTTTAGAAGAAAGTGTTAACTTCATTCTCAATTTTTTCAGGTTTTTAGTTCGTGGTCAAAATAATTTTAGAACTTAAAATAAATAACCAAAAAAGTAACATTAAGGAATATAATTTATGAACAATAAGATAATTTTCTGGAAAGAAACAGATAAAAGTATTATTTAAGACACTCAAAACAGAGATTTTAAAAATACTTTGAGAAATAAATTAAATATTTGCGAAAAAAATGTTTGAGTCATGACCGACGAGACATATCCTGTGGGCCCTGGTTTAAGTTCATGAACTTGTAAAAAAATAATCAGAAAGATATGATACTTCGAAGTTAATTTTCGTTCAAATTCGTCCGATTTTGCGTGGAATGACATATATGTACATTTTCTTTGCTGAAATGACTGCAGCACTTTCTAAAACACTTTTTTTCAGCTTAACCGAAGTTTGTGTGTTTGCAGTTGTGTTGCAATTCGCACGCATTTCGCGTTTTACTGCTATGTGTAAGTGACTGATCTGGGTTCGCGTCGGATCTTAGTCAATGACCAAATCGGCTTTTGTGTTGCACTACGCCTTCAGAATAGCAGAGGGGAGTGTTTGTTTTCTTTGTCCTATAGCGAGGACGTGTCGAGCTAATTGTTTTAACGTTGCCGGAGCTTCGTTGATTTGAAAGGCTTGATAGGTTTCGTTAAACGAAAGTCGCCTTGACCATTGAGTGAATGACTCGATATCAAGTTCCTTTCTCAGTACTATCAACCGTTTCCGAAATGGAAGGCGTGCTATGAACCGTAGAACTTTGTTCTGTACCAGCTCAAGTGTATCCTTCTACTTCTGTGCTGTGGTCCAGCACGTTGCTGTAGCGTAGGTGGCCACAGGCCGGCAACACGATTTATAGAGTGCCAAGCGAAGTTCGAAGGGGAGTGTAGGTTTCCTCAAAAGATGTTACAAGAGTCGAACTCTTTTGCTGTAGTTTTGATCCAATTCGCCTGACGTGTAAATGCCAGCGCATCCTTCGATCAAATGTGACGCCTTAGTAAGTTTCCTTAGACGCCCTTGTCAGTTTTTGTGGGCCAAGTGTAATTTGTTTCGATGGTGTAAAATGTTTAGTGTATTTGTGGTTGCTGCTGGTGTAACAGATTACCTGTGACTTTTCTGCTGAAAAAGTCAAGTGGTTTTGTTCCACCCACTTCAGCGTCAGGTTCATCTGTTTTTGAAGTATTAGCGGTCTAGGTTTATTCCTCTTGCTAAGACGACTACGTCTCGGCATAAAGGAAAAGCCGTATTCGTGGTATATGTGGGGTGCCATTGACATACGAGATCAGTAGCGGGGAGAGGGACCCCGGCCGCAATCCTCTGCTTAGAGGATCTCACTTTTCCCACATTGACCACGAATGCGCGGTTTGTGAGGAACGACTTAATCATTTCGTTTACGTCTTGTGGAAGGCAGCGCCAAAGTTTGTGACGTACTGTTTTGAGTGTACTGTGTGGCACTTTGTCAAAGACTTGCACCAGGTCGAGATATATGACAAGTACTTTATGTGTAAGTAACAGATCAGCGGAAATCTGCTGAGCCATGCTCGCAGTGAAGCGGAATGGCCCGGTCTCAAGGCCAACTGTTCATCTCGGATGAGGTTTCGCGACAGAGCAGTTGGCAATACACATACTGGCGGCGTTTGACTAATAGATATTTCATACTTACTACTCAAGTCAAGACATTATTTTCCTTGCGAAAAATAATGGTTCGTTACAATAGACCTTTATTTGTGTACCTAACAGACTTTGTTTTATTCATATTTATTTTTTATTGAGGGCAAATAAATTAGTTGTACAGTACTCCTCAAAAGTAACTCATGGCATTTGACACTTATTGTAAACACAGGTTCGCGGTAGCGGTAGTGTGAAATTTACTGCTGATTATAATAGTGAGCATTTGGCATTATTTGAATGGTTTGATTGTTGGGTGTTAATGTACGTGAAACAGAAGTGCAAATCTTCGCAATGGAAGAGTAGAAGAATCCAGGTAGCAGCTATAGAACGTTGAAGAAGCAGCCTTCTATGGAAACAAAAGCAAGGTAATTATCTTACCTCCAAGTGCAAGCAAGAAAGTCAGCGGAAATTGTTCATAATGTCGAAGGATCTGTTGTGGGCAATAATTCAAATATGAAGAGCCCATCTAGTGATTCATTGCAAAGTTCTACTACACAAACAAGGCGTGTTAAAAAGTTAGAAGCATTTTCTCAATGTAATTTTAATTCGAGAATAGTGCAAATTTAATTACAATTTTAATTTATTTATTCACAAAGATGTGTGGAAACATTTATTTGTCGGTTTGCAATGCAGCTTTAGAAATCTCAAACCATAACGATTGACATTTCTGAAAATTTTGAATTTTGTTCTAAATTAGCTTTGAAGTGAAGTGCTTGTGAAAATGTACCATCACAACTATGTAAACATCACCAAGAATGAAAGATAAAAATTCTCAGAGACCTCCATTTAAATTGTGATGGGCTCATTTCTTTTTTTAAGAAGGGGACATTCAGCTATACAAAACCTTTCAATGAATATGGGAATGAATACCATGGAGGGCAAGACCATATTCTGAAACGTTAGACATATTGGCTCATGAGGGGCAAGCACTTAAATTATAAAAATTCAAATAAGTGGTATGTAAAGCATATGTAGAAGCCCATTCATCATAAGAAAATAATGGAATTATAGACATTTGTGTATCATATGATGGCGCTTTCCATAAGCATGGGCACATATTGAATTATGGAATAGGTTTTGACTGAGGTTGTGTTGGACTATAAGATCCAAGTATTGTGGTATATTTTGTCTAACTATATTTGGTCTTTTTATTTTAACATTCGAAAATTGTTTGGGATAACTGCTTTATATAAAAATTACAATATGATTGCAATGTATTATATGTGATACATAATAGTAGCAATGTTTTGGAAAATAATTATTTCCATTTTCAGGCTTAAAAGTAAAAACAAGTAAATTAATATTTCAAACAAGGGTCAGAGTTAAAGAGAAGAATAACATAATACCAATGTACACAACTGTACAGAACACACCTTGATAAAAACTTTTGAAGATCTTGGTATGGTCTCATATGATGGTATATTGTTGGAATAAATGAAAATGAATGAGAATAAGAGGAAGTAGATATAGAGGTTGAGAGGGACATTACAAAATCAAGGGAGACGGAAAAAAGTTATAATTAACAGTTACTAAGAAAAACATCTTAATTTTGAGAAAAGTTACTGAATAATCCATCATATAAATTAGTAAATTGGTTAGATTCCAGCTGTGTATTCAAACAAGATGTATTGATATAAAGAGTTTCTAATGTTAATCTGGAATAGAAAAAATTTTCACAGGCTAAAATCTGTGTCTCCTAGAAATTCACATGATGGGTAGTTGTAATTTTAAGTTGTGTTAGAGAATTATGTTACAACACAGATCTTTTATGTTTAAATAGTCTTGGGTTTATGTTTAGTTTCACCAATGCATGGTCTATTATCTGTGCAATTAATTTGATAAACTATGATATTAATGTTTAATTTCCCTCTAGTATCTTTCAAGTTTTTGACTATATGACATTTATCACTCTATTTTCTTCTTTGAATTTGAATGTGGTCAAAAGTTCATTTTTAAGAATGTTATTTATTTGGGTGATGTAGGGTAAACACATAAAATCATTCATAAATAGCGGGGTTTTCCATATTAAATTAATTTTAGTCCTTTAGATATGATTTTTTCTATGAAATTTAAAAGTTAGTCATTGAATTACAATATCTCTAAAACTACATAAATTATAAATATAGAACTGGGGGGATGACAATTTTATTGCTTTGTCAACAAAAATAATGGACTGTTGAGCAATTTTTCTCAAAATTAAGATGTTTCTTTTAGTATCTAAAATTTAAAAAATAACATGCAGACTTAAATGGGGTGAAAAGTGTTAAAATTTATAGCAGTGTGTCAGCAATTTTTAGTCATTATTTAATGGAATTGTTTCAGTTATTGTTAACACAGTATTGCTAGTTCACAATTTTTAGCTCTAGAAAACGTGTTGCACATTGCACCCAAAATTTTGTAAAAGAACTCTTGTGAAATAAAGTATCCACAACATATCAGTTTGTTCCTCACCTCACAAGGTCTTTCAGTTACTCTTAATAACTGTTAATTATAACTTTCTCCTGTCTTACTTGATTTTGTAATGACCCATTCAACCTCTCTCTATCTACTTCTTCTTACTCTCATTCATTTTGATGTATTACAACAATATACCGTCATATGATACCTTACTGAGATCTTCCAAAAGTTTTTAATCAAGGTGCATTCCGTATAGTGATTTGTGTACGTTGTTATTATGAAATTTTCCTGTTTAAATCTCACCATTGTTTGAAATATTATTTTTATTTGTTTTAACATTTAAATCAGTAGATGGAAATAATTATCTTCTGAAATGTTGCTGCATATATCATATGTATCACATATAATATATTGTATATAAAATTGTTATCCTAAACAATTTTCTGTCCTTAAAATAAAAAGACCAATATCTGAGGACATGACAATATCTAACAATATCTGACAATATCTAAGGACAGAAAAGTAAATAATACTTCAAATATTTTAGTACATGTACCTCTTCTGCAGAAAGTTTGGGAAGGGGAGCACATGAAATTGAAATATGGAATGAAAAACACAAAGAAAGTGAGGAATGTCAACAAAATCACACTGGATCATCAAAGTCTATAGAAAAGGATGCAGCAGAAATTTTGTGGTGTAGGTCTGTCCAGCAGAAAAACATGTGATTCAAAAAAATGCTGCCAGATGGTGAAGCAAAAATACATACTCACCTAAATGAAATGAAAGTGTGTGGTCTTAATTCTGTGATTATAAAGCAAGAGTGCATTAACCATGTATCAAAATGTGCACTTCACAACTTTGTGAAAGAGTACAGAGGTAAAGGGGTGACGTTGGGAGGGAAAAAAGAAGACGGATTTACTGAAAGAGGTAGAAAAAAAGATTAACCAGTTATTACAGAAATGCTATTGCCCAGAATATAGATGATATGCAAAAAATGAAAAATGATGCTTATGCCACCTTGATACACTGCATGTCTGGGGACAAGATCCCACAGCACGGCACTTGTACAAAGGGTATCAGCTTGTGGTGCTTGCTCAAGTGTCAAGTTGTGACACTATTTTTAATTACACATGCGAACCAAAAGGTAAAAGTTGTGGTGAAAATGAGGCCCATGTATCAGAGACTGACATCCGCAGCCCTTTTGGAAAGGTGGTAAGGGAAAATTCTGAAAGCCCAAGAAGCTATATCTCACCTCATTTGGAATAACTGCCCCAAAGAAATTTTTGTGTGCAAAAGCAATTTGGTATTAGTTGTCATGAAAGCAGTTAGTGAATTTAATATGGGATGTGTAAAATCCCTTGAAATGAACCAATCCTTGTGAGGAGAACAAATTGTGCTCTCTGCAAAAAAAAAAAAAAAAAAAAAAAAATCACCCAAATGATATAAAATCCAGAAGAGAAGACACAACTGGAGAAGAATAAAAATGGAGAAAATTGAGCAGAAGAGAAGAAAAAGTATACTTAGGGTCCAAATTATGTGCCAGGAATGTTGTGGGGTAAGTGTGTGCTTGCAAATCTTGATTTCTGTTTTCTCACTTATTTTTTTAACATTTCTCTTCATTTAAAATTCTCTGTGGAACAATGTTTAGAATACATGGATGAAATTTGCTATTCATGTTTATTGAAGTAGTACAAATTAAATAGCCCAGGTTTTATGCTTGGTAATATTTTAGTATTTACTTTTCTTTCTAATCGCCTTTACTTAAATGAATTGGATTTTTTCTTTTTTAATTTCAAATATTCCTACAATCACAATGATATAGTGACATTAAAACCCAGGCAAATTAGTAAAATATATCATTCATGAGCTTTTACAAAAAATATGATCCTTACAAAATAATTTTATTTTGCAAGAGGTTTTTATTTCACCATGATTAAAAACAATATTAATTTTATCATAACATATAATCTAGTAGGTTTATTATGCTTAAATTTTCAAATTTCTATTTGTATCTTTATATATCTGTGGGGTAAATTAAAAAAATTGTGTGTATATTTTTTTTAGAAATTGAAATGATGAGGCATGAGTAGGTACCCTGAAAAGAAACTCAATGGAGAAAAATGGACTCACATAATCATCTTCCTCTGCGTATCTCCTTTCGGAAGAGGAGACTCCTTCCTGCAAATGAGAACAATACAAGCTACTATTTGATAATAAATGTTAACAATAAAGTTAACAATACTATCTGAAACAAAGAGGACAAAACTATTATGGCAAAAATTTTAGAAGAGACATTCATTGGCTCGAATGTTACACAAGGTTCCAATGAGTCACAATTTCGCAAATGTTAAATAATGATGGGCAAATATAGTGTATCAAAACTAATAGAAAAGTACTCAAACTTTTTAATTTTCTAATAACATTAATGTAAATAATATGAAACCAGTATGTGACATAACATTTTCAATCAGCATGTGACATAACTTATTCTTAACTGATATAGAATCCTAAAGTTTATTCTCATAGATATCTAAGTTAGTGAAAAGTTTTGAGATCATTAAAAATCAACTCATTAGATAAAAGATGTAAAACATGATTGACATTAGCAGGTGCTATTGTTCTTCTGATTTGTGAATTGTCTATATCTTGTAACTTTTATGGAACAATTCTGCATAAGAAAAGAAATGTGGTGCCTGATGCTGTGAAAACTTTTGACTAGTTCTGCTTTAGCCACCCTTTCATACTATGTACTCTCTTTTACTATTTAAAAAGAGTTTATTATTTTGCTGCTTTAGATTTTTTTCTCCATAGTGTCTGGTTTTTGCAATGTTGCAGAATTGCATTCACTCCATTATACTCTATTTTAAACAACCTTGGACAAAGTTTGCATTAGACTATTGAATTAATATTGTCAGATTCATTGAGCATAATCAAATCATTACTCTTTTCCCTAGCTTTATAAACTAAT